ATAGTATTATAGAGCAAATATATATAAATATTATAATAATTAGCCTTATACATAATAAATAAAAATGAAGATGTTTTTTGGATCACAACAAATGGAATTATCAGGAGGAAAATAATATTCGTTTTTTTGAATTAAGGTAATATTTGCATTGTGTAATTTTTGCAATTATCATTTTGTATTTGTGCTTTATACTTTTCTCTAATATTTTTTAATTCATTACAAAAATAAGAGTAATCACTATATTCACAAGATTTAATATGTTTCATATGTATGTCAGCGCATTCCTTACCACATTTGCATTTGGTTTCATTACAAGAACCTTTTTTATCATATAAGAAATTTTAAGACTTAGTATTCATATCATATATACCTATAAGTTCTTGTATTACGCCTCTAGTAATGTTCTTGGTATAACAATAGCATATAGGGTCCCCTATAGTGTTAAATGCATTAATGAATGTATTATAAATTTTTTTTGTGTTCTTTTGATTGTTTCTTTTAAAATATGCAATATACATCCAAAGAAGCAAGTATGTACAGCCTATATCTAAATCATGTGAATTAAAATTTTCTTTCTAATTTTGTAAATAATAAATAGCTTTCGTACAAATATTAGAGAAATCATTTTCAAGAATTTTATTAGACTTCTCTTTATAGTTATTACAATAATTATTTAACATTAAAGATTTACTTTCATCATAGTTTTCCAATTTTTCTTTTTCACCATCAAGAGAACTTAAAATTTTAAACTATAAAGAAAAGAGAACTTAAGAGCATATTACAATATGGATAAATATATTTGTGAATATCAAATCATTTTAATAGAAGATGAAATATATTAATTAAAAAAGAATTACAGTATAAAATATAATTATAAAACATATAATGCTAATTTCATTATCTGACATTATATTTGTGTACTAAATATTAAATAAAAAAATACCTTTATGTAAAATTAAATATATGAAACATAAATAACACATATTTCTAAAAAGCACAGTATGCATTTATCTGATTTATTAAAATATAATTTAAATTGATATATATTATTTTTCTTTATGGATAATTACTTTTGCAATAAATGTGTAACATTGTAAAATAAAAAAAAAAATTCATTTAATCATACCACAAAAAAAAATTAAAAACCTATGAATATAATATTCAAAATAAAATTTCATATAACATGCTATTATTTAATTTAATAAAATATAATAATACTTTTGAATTTTATAATAAAATTATAATATTGCCAATTCAAATCATTTTAGGATTTTTTTTATTATAATAATGTTATATTTTTATATAAATTTTCTTTAGAATTTATTAATATATATAATATGGTTAAATAATATTTATTACGGGAGAATAAAATTGCATAATCATTTTTTGAAGAATATTTGTGATATATAATATGTATTATATATTTTCTCGCTCTACATAGAACGCACTTCAGTATAATGTGTCTATAATTATATTATGTAGGAGTTTATATTTTAAGGGTTATTTAAGGAAGATTATAAATCATTATTTTCATATATACAAATTTTTTTTTTTAATAGATAATGTTTTCATTATAATAATACTATATTTAATAATTTTATAAATCTTATAATAAGATAAGTGCAAATATATTGTTCCTTATAGGAACAATGATCATAAAACCTAAATATACTTTTTTTATTCTTTATTATATTTCAAAAGTACTAAATTAAAAAAAAAAAAATGTTCTAAAAATACAATAATACTCTTTTAATTATTTTGTTATATTAACTGATATTTTTATAATATAAGTTTTAATACGTTACTATCTATGATATATGTTATAATTATATGAGTAATATAAGATAAGAATGATCATATATTAAATGTGCATCACCATATATAATGTTATAACATATTAAAGTTTTAATATATCTTATTTATTTTATTAATTTCTTTTTTATAATATGAAAATACTTTAATTTATTTTTCTTTTATACAAATGGAAAAAAATGTATGTACATAATTTTCACCCATTCTACATTAAGATATGGATAGATATTTAAAAATATTAATGTAGATTGTGTATGACAAGGACATTTTATTGCTTTGGAATAATCTTTTTGGTCCTTTAAAAAAATTTTTCTACTTAAGAAATGTCTATTACACTATATAATGTATTATTATGAATACTGTTTATATTTTTTTTAATATTCCCACATGATTTTCTATAAATTATGTAAATTATAATATGTCATAATATCTTAAGTATATATATTATCTTTACTTTTTATTAAAAAATATTTTTCTCATGTTTTGTTATGACGATTAACATTTGGTATATATATAAAATTTAATAATTACTTTATATCATTAATAAATATTATTTACTTTTATGTATTTCTATTATTAATTTATAGAATTTTAAATTCTATTATGCTCTTTTTTTTTTTATGATTAACATATAATCTTTATATAATTATATATATCATAATTTTAAATTTATATATGGATTATATATATCTTATATTAATACAATTAATATATATTTATAAATATACTTTTATTGAATTATATATTTTTTTCTTGTTTTCAATATTCATGAAGAATAAATGCTTTGTTTGATTTTATAATTTAAAAAAAAGATTATATAATCTATATACACGCAATATATGTCACTCACAATATTTGTGAAATAACTGATTTAGCAGAATTATGAAGACAAGACACATATTACTTTTGCTCACAATAAATCGAATATATATACTATGAATTATTGTGATTAATATTAAAAGAATATTTATCAAATGTTTTTTATATGTACATGAAATTTATGAAGTAATACCTTTGATAATATTATATATAATCATATATTTCAATTATGATATCATTTTAATATCTATAATAACAGTTGCAATTATAGTAATTGTGAAATTGTCCTTGAATTAGAGTTAAAGAAAATAACATTATACAATATTTCTTTTGAGCATTTAATTTTTTTATTTTATTTACTTTTAATTCAATATGTTCCTGTTTTATTACTATATTATTAATAATATAGCACTGAGGTATTTATCGAAGACTAATTATTATGTTGGTAACTCTATTTTGAGGGTATTATAAAAGTACATTGGTCTTCAAATTTTTGTTTTAATATATTATTTTTTAATATGTAAAATTTATGAAATCTTTAAAAAAATTCACTCATATTGATGTATTGGTTTTAACCCCTCAATAATAAAAAAAATATATATTATTTTACTACCACAAGTCATTTTCTTTTCTCTCATTTATTGTTGAGCGCTTATATCACATTGAAAAGAAAAACATTTATTTTACTCTGATAAGTATAAACACTCTATAAATTTTATAAAGAAGTACATACACAAAATGATATTAATGAACTAGTTTTATTATTACATAATGTTAAGTGATATACCAACTTGACGAATTTAAAGTTGTGGTATGAAAATGATATTATTATATTTTAGTCGCTTATTACTTATAAAACTGAATACATCAAAAAATTAGTTATCTCTTGAGAAAATTTATGAATTACGAAGTAGTCCTAATAGATTTGTTTTAATGCTATTTAATGATTCCCTAAATTAATACAACATTAAAGACATTTTTTTTTACAGAACTGTAATATACTTCTTATTGCATATATTATGATACTGTATCGATATGTATTTTTGTTTTTCCTAAATTATCATTTCATCTTAAAAAAATTTACATTCCTATTAATAAAAGCCTATTATGAACATAACAGATTTTACTCTTTAATGTATTCTGTGTATAACAACCTTTATGATTATAATTTAAGTTTCTGCAAAAGTTGTTATTCTATGAGTTAATAATTTTTATGTTTTATTAAAATATGATCTAATCAGATATTTTTTTTTCAGAATATATTTTACCAATATACATACTTATGTTCCTTGTACATTGATGAATAAACAATTTAAAAAATACTACTACTATTTTATTGTGGTTTATTCACTCGATGAATATGTAATATATATTATATATTTTTCAACATAATTTTTCATTCTAATTCTATTCTTAACCGCTTTAACACGGTATTGTCTTCTATAATATAGTACAGAATTCATGAATTATAACATAATTGTGTAACATATACATATATTTATGAATATTATGAGGAAGCGTTATTTAGTTATAAGTAAATAAAACTTAAATATTGCTCAAAAAAGTAACAAAAAAAAATTTATTATGTCTTAGTTTTATTTTTAAAAATGAAAAGCACTATAAATAGAAAAAAGAATAATGAAAATTCTATTTAAATTGAAATATACACATATATTTACTAAAGCGTTGCTGTTATAGTATATAAAGTACTAGAAAAATTACACACCATACATAAATCTACAAAAAAAATTAAGAAAATGTGCATTTTTGTAAGGTTGTATTCTTGTTATCATATTATAATTAAAATTATAGCATATATTAATTTCGATATAAATTTTAAAAAGATAGCGTTAATATTCTACAATAATTTAGAAAAAGACTAAAATAAAATAATTGTACATCCGTTACTAAAATAAAATTAATAGTT